TGGAACTTGGGGCTTCCAATCCAAAGGTCTACTTTTAGAAACCTGCATAAAAGCATGGTTCATCGAAAAGGTGTGGCCCATTAATACACGGCATAGAAGAGGGAGAGATAAAGCAACTGGAATTGAGCTCCCCAGACATTGCTTATCACCACATTATGTTTTCCAGGGTTTTTGTAAAAAACATTTACAGATGTCATCTTTTTAAAGAAATTTTGTAACATTAGCAGATAAAAGTGCAAAAAAATCTCACTTTTATAAAGTGTAGAGACTAGTTTTTGAAATCTTTATTAAAAATGCATGAAGGGTTCTTATGCATCAGAGATTGACATCTCTATTTTCTAGCTACACTACACAGACTTGGATAAATTATTATTACTCTTGAACTTCCATTTTCTTATATGAATGTTCAAGGGACATTACTAACAAATATTTAAAACAAGGTGGTGTGAAATCAAATTTAGCACATCACCACTACAGTTAAAAGCTAGGGTAGATGCAGTTTTGCTTAACTTTCTTTGCAGTTGTAAATGGGTTGAAATACTTTGTTCAAAACATCTTTATTGAATCATGTTAGGAGCTGAATGATCATTTTTAATGTTAATTAATTCAGCTACTGCCTTCACAATTATGGGGTACAGCTTTCTCTCTCTGAACAAAGGTATACTTAATTTCCACTGAGGGTCATAAAGACTTTACGTCAATTTTATTTATTTTTTAATTTATTTTTATTTTTATTTTATTTTTGACAGGCAGAGTGGACAGTGAGAGAGAGAGACAGAGAGAAAGGTCTTCCTTTGCCGTTGGTTCACCCTCCAATGGCCGCCACGGCTGGCGCGCTGTGGCCGGCGCATCACGCTGATCCAAAGCCGGGAGCCAGGAGCTTCTCCTGGTCTCCCATGCGGGTGCAGGGCCCAAGCACGTGGGCTATCCTCCACTGCACTCCCTGGCCACAGCAGAGAGCTGGCCTGGAAGAGGGGCAACCGGGACAGAATCTGGCACCCCTACCAGGACTAGAACCCAGTGTGCCGGCGCCGCAAGGTGGAGGATTAGTCTATTGAGTCCCGGCACCGGCCTTTATGTCAATTTTATTAACACATAAGATTTGGGTGCATTGATTATTTGAATGCACAATAAAAAGTCATAATTTACGCATTTCTCTTTCACAGAAATGATTCATTTGAATATATCCTTAGTAATGGTGGTCAAATTTCCTCTCAATTCAATGACCACTTTTCAACTTAGTTATTGAGTAGAATAGGCACTGGTATATGTATTAAGAATACAAATGTGAACCCAAACTCTCTCTAATCTTAAGAATCCCTCAAACTGGCAATTATGAGGCAGTTACTTAATGCACAGTAGCCCAGGAGAATACTGTCATATTTTTCTAATATGCAAAGCTCTAATCAGCTACTAGGGTATTTATTCTTAGACTCCTCAAAATATGCCTTATCCCTGATCCCACAGATTTAATTAATGGCAGCTAATCATTGTTTATTACTGGCCAGACACTGTTCTAGAACCTGTATTTATACTGATCCACATAATCTTCCTAACAATCCTATCAAATAAACACTATTCATAGCTCTGTTTTGTAAAGAAGTTGAATTACTTGTTGTGGCTACACTGCTAGAAAGTCCAGAATTAGTCCAGAGTTAGGACATAATGTAAGCTTTGGCAGTCTGGCTCCAGGATCTGAGATTTTAAACCCTGGATATGTGCTGTCTCTAAAATATTTCAGTGAGTTCTCTTGTGGTGTACTTCCTTCTCAACACACCTCTGCAAAGAGGTAAATGAGGCCATCTGGGGAATACCACTGAAATCATGGAGCCCTACTGAGATATCCTACTGGCCAAGACCCTCTTGTTACTCTCTTTGTACCACAGTATTGTCCCATGCCTCATTTACACCAATTCCAAAAGACACATCCACGCCTCACCTTTGAATGCTGTTCCCTGCCTGATAACCTGCAAACCCATGTTAGCCAAGAGGTGGATTAGAACAGCACTGGAAGAAAACCACAGCAAGAAGTCATCCACAAAGTCCTCAAAGGGTAGCACAAGGGTGAAACAGGCAAGGTACAAAAATTTCTCTTCCATAACTATGATAACAAGAATCCCTGGAACAATTTTTATGTTTTTTTAAGTATATCTTTCTTTATTTGAAAGGTAGAGTGACAGAAAGACAGAGGGGGAGACAGACAGACAGACAGACACACACACACACAAACATACAGCATCTTTCATCTATTGGTTCACTCCTCAAATGGCCACAACAGACAGGGCTGGGGCAGGCTGGAGCCTGGAACCTGGCACTGCCTTGGGTCTCCCAAATGGGTGGCAGGGGCCCAAGTACTTGAGCCATCTTCTGCTGCTTTCCCAGATGCATTTATAACAATGTCACAAGTGACAGCTTAAACCACTGTGCCACAGTGCTGTCTCTGAATTTTTGAAACTGGGGGCTCCCTGTCTCTGCTGATCTTGCAGCCACCACCCTGTGATTCTGGTGTGGCTGCCTTGTGTTCTCATGCTGAAGGAAACAGAAGTAAGTGGACAGAATCCTCAAGGCCTCCAATAAGTATCCAGAACTTTCTTGCCCTAATCCCTCTTTCTCAGGCTAGAGAGTCCCTGTACTGGTCAAAGTCTCAGTTTATAAAACTTGCAGAAATGAACATAAATTAGCTTAACAGTTCATTTTAAAATATTTTTAAATGATGTGGCCGATGTCATTTCTTCATGTTTAGGTGAATTAGAATGATTTTAAATTCCAAGCTCTTTGAAGGATGAGAGATTTTAAACTCCCTGGTGCTGAGATCTGTGCTGTACCCAGTAAGTACAGGAACCCAGTAAGAATGAGATAGGCATGATGTGTCATTCTGATGGGTCTACAAATAGTTTGAAGATTCTCTCCCATCCCTGTAGTGTGTATTTTCTCCAGACACATTAAGGATATTTTTCACTATGTATATACTTAAAAGAAAGAGATCGTACCTAGGGAAGAATGTCATAAAGGAGCTGAGTGAGTGGATTGAGACCATAAGTAGCTGCAGTATCTTGTGGCAGTAATGCATTCTCAACAAACTACTTATGGGGCTTTCTGATGAGGCTGCACAAAAATGCAATAGAAGATCCTCATGACAACACACTCATGGCCACAACTGCAATTTCTAAACAAAGGCAGTCACAGGCAAAATAACTACGCTGTGAGAATACTACCCTTGTGTTCTGAGGAGAGCTTTTGCACACGCCACTTGGAGCCTGGAACTGTTTTAATCCCAGTTTCAGAGATGATAAATCATTTTATTCAATACATTAAAGAGTAGTTTTCTCAGCTGTGGACACCAGCTCTTAATGACAAGTCACGTTCCTACAGGTCTCACCACCCAACAGAACAAAGCATCTCAGTGTGTCCTTCATGGAGACTGCAGGAACATTTGCAGAACCTCTTGTGACAGAGGATAAAGCAACACTGAAAAACAATGCACTGATTCGTGTTTTAAAACTTTGGGTTTTGATGCTCCTTATCATGTACATTGACTCAGAAGCTAAGTGGGGAGAAGGGATTGGGGATGACCTTGACTCTGTTCACTTATTCAATGCTGCACTCATTAAGTGTCTGGGATTATGCAAGCTGAGGGCAAGGAGAGGGTGAGCCAAGGCCAGGAGTCCTTGAAGTAGAAGGTACAGTGAGCTGTGAGCAAAGTACACAGGTAGTTGGTGTAGCACCATGGAGATGCATAGCCTGGGGGCTGTGGTGGATACAGTAGATCAAAAAGACTCGACAGAGGAAGTGGCATCTAAATGAAGCTGAGTAATGAGTCAGAACCGGCTGGATGAAGCAGAGGCAGGTAACCATGGGTCAACAGCATTCAACCCACAGGAAACAAGTAAAGCAGGCCTGCTGGCTTCATGAATGTCATTCCAGAATTGGAACTTATTCCTAGTACAAATTGTTCAAGCAACACAGATCTGTCTTCACTTAGTGCTTTTAACCCAGAGTCGTTAGTCTTGATGATATCTTACAGGTTAGAAAGCACTTCCATTCATTAATTATAATACACAGCATACACTAAGAACACAAAACTAATGAGAAAGTGGTGTAAAATACACATGGGTGAAAATTTGGTAACATCTCAGCAAGAACAGGTAGAAGAGTAAAAAGTATTATCTCAGTGTTTAGATAGCTGAAACAAAAGCAGCAAAACTCAAGCCAGTGCAACTTTAACCAGATAACATCAGGTAAAGATGATCATCCAGTGAGGCAAAGCTAACTGCAGATAACCCATGTTCCTGGTCCACCAAAGTGGTCTTCTAGTCCAGCACAAGGATGAGGTGGTTAACTATGGGGAATCTTCCTTCTTTTAAAAAATTATTTTATTTATCTGAAAGGCAAAGTTAAAGAGATCGAGAAAGAGAGCTATTTTCCATCTGTTGGTTCACTACCTCAAATGGCCAGGGCTTGGCCAGGTTGAAGCCAGGAGCTTCCTCCCGGTCTCCTCCGTGGGTGCAGGGGCCTAAGCACTTGAGCCATCCTTTTATGACTTCACAAGCACATTAGCAGGGAGCTGGATTAGAAGGGAAGCAGCTGGGACTCAAACTGGTGCCTATCTAGGATGCTTGCATCGAAGGCAATGGCTTTACCTGTTATGATACAATGTAGACCCCTAAGAAGTCTTTCTCTTTCCCCTTCCTTCCTGTCTCCAAGGCCATCAGTGGCCTTTTTACTGCTTCAAAATGAGTGTTTCTTGTGTTATCAAATATTGGCTGGCTAATTCAGCCTCAATCTCTCACCTTTCAGTGTCCAGCCCCAGACCCTGTCACCCTCTCAAGTGGTCCTCTCTGTCCATCAAAGCTTTAGATAAGAGGAAAAAGGGTGTGAGGATGAGTCAGTGGCGATGGCACCTCTTTTGAGGACCCTTCATTGTGACTTAATCACAGTGTGTTTCATCAGGAGGAGACCATCACAGCAGTGCAGGGATCATGAGCGGCCCATTTTCTCACCTGTGGCGAAGACGACATTCCTCGAGACCAGACGATGCTCCACAATGGAGAACTGCGGGAGCTCAATCCTTTCCACTCCCGTGACAGCCTTGTCCCCGCCACGCCAGTAAAATTCAATGTCATCTGTGGTGTAGCCATCTGCCAGCAGAGAGAAGCAGAGACATGGGTATATGAAACAGCATCATCTTGTATATATGCATGGCTAAAGAAACTCTCATGAGTAAAGTGGGAGTGACAACTTTGCCATGCTTGAAGTAGATTTGTTTAATGTGCGTATCTGCAAGAAGTATCATCAGACAACTAACTTTCAAAGATTCTTGTGTTACCTCCACTGTTTGTACCTTGCTGATGTTTAAAACTAGAGAAGCTGGGGAAACCAGATGTTCTGCCTGGAATTCTGTTAGCAAAGTATAGCTTTAGATATTCCCCCAGACAACATAGAGACATGCATTTAAAACATCTTAAAAGCAATGGATAAGATGATTTAAGTGAAAATTAGAATTCAAGTATGGAGAATTCAAAAAATAACTCCTTTCAAATGCTATTGAACAGTAGAAAAACTGAGGGTGACTTTAACCATTCAATGCTCGATTACACAGATGGATGTTTAGAGCAAAAGCAGTGATCTCATTGGCACTTGGGAACTGGTTCACCAGCTGTTCCTGGCATGAGGTCAGCCAACTTTAGAAATGCTTTTGGTTGGGGTACTCCTAACCATTAGAGAATCGAGCAAGTGGTCTCATAAGAATGAGGAGTGATCATTAACTGGATTACAGCTCCAAACTCAGTTCATATCACACTGCTCATGTCCACTTGTTGGTTAACCAGTGCTTCTGGAGAATGAGAAAATGGCACAATAATGTACAGGAGTCTCCTGAAAGATTAGATCAACTTTATCACTAAGACTGACTAAAACACAGATCTTTAGAAAACCTTCGATTGACTATAACAGCATTTTTTGTTTTAACGTATCAATCAACAAAAATTTAGACATAAGATTCATGCTAGACAAGCAAATGGGTCAAAGCTGCAGGACTGACTGCTCCCCACAGCTAACTCCGCCTCACTTGCCCCATCCGCTGCCCTGTTTGAGAGCATGAGGGTTGTCACACCTACTGTCTGCTCCCTTCTTTCTGAGTTCCTTCAGTTCCATTCTCACCTGTCAGTCACAACAATCTTTAATAAAGCACACTACTTAGCATGCCAGCCCTCTGCTTAACTCAAATGTTTCTCAGTGCAATTAACAAGTCCAAACTCCTCACAAGGACTTCACAGTCCCATATAACTTGACCCTCAGTGTCTCCATTCCCTCTCCTTCACTCATTTAGCCTGCATCCTTGGCCTCTTCTTACAAATCAGAGCAGGATGTGCCCTGGGCTTCAGTGCTTTCTGCGGGGACCTACTTTCAGACCTCTATGGGCTCATTCTTCACCACAGTTGCTTGTTGACTTAGATAAAACCTTGCAGAAGCCCTACCTGCCACACTACTTCAAGGGTGACTTCACAGCCCTTATCACCCTTTACCAGACTGTATTGTCTTCAAAGCATCTGTAACTGTGTCTCATCCAATCATTTACTGCCTTTTCTGGAATCTAAATGCCACAAAGGCAAACTTTTGTCTGTGTTCTCTGTATACTCCTGTACTCACAACTGTACCTGCATAGAGTTGATATTCAGTAAGTATCTTTTGGCTGAAACTGTGGATCAATGAATGTCATCATGCTTGGAAATAAAGCCACATCTTTCTGCTGTCCATTTCTAATACAGAGATATGAATAATTCGGCCACCAGAAAATTAGGAGAACCCCTCTTCCACTCCAGTGCTTTACCCTTGGATTCTCTGCTAGGGAAGGGCCTCACACACTGAGAGAATCTTTTTGCCAGAACTTCCTGCTCATTCTTCCCTGCAGCCCACACATCACAGCAATAGAATCCACACTCTCAGAAGTCACTCAGTGTGTGTTCAGAAAGTTAGGATACCCAGAGCTGCTTCCCTGCTAAGATACCAAAATTTGCTTTCCTAAAATTCATTGATTTATTGCAGTTGTGTCCTCTGGTGACAGAGAATCCACTGAACTTCCTAGGATAGTGCTTCAACTGTTAAGAAATCACCAACTTTAGCCTGAGCCTTCTGTCCACTACGGTAAATGTCCACAGATGAATTATGCATCACTTGACATGATTTTATGTCTCTACTTTTTCTCTGAAAGCAGAGTTTTCAGAGCACATAACAGTGATGTAGTGTGGAAGTGAAGGCACAGTGGGGACAGCTTCATTCAGGACCTGCACACTAGCCCACCACCGATTTCTCAATAAATTTATTTACAAGGTCTTTGCATTCTCACCATAATGCCATCAAGTGACATTGAAAGCCAAAATCATTTAACCAGCAAAAATTCTGTATAAATACTGACAAGCCTCAATCCAACTGAGACTAATTATAAACCAGTCTATGATTGGACAATGGCATTAACAACATCCAGACATGCCAAGGGATGAAGCTCAGGTATCAGGAGGGAAACCTGTTTGTTGGGTTTTGTAGACACAGTTCTCATCCTTCACACCCAAGTACTCAATGTTAAATTTTCAATTAAGCATCTGAATATTCTTCAAATTGAAGATAAATGCCAAGATGCAGAAATAGCCTCCTTGTAAAGCCAGCAAACTGATGGGAAATGAGTTTTACTCTGACTGCCCAGGGTCCCAGCAGTCCAGCCACTCATGCATGGTGAAACATATTGTAAGAAAATTACATCTCAGTGTCTGGTCTCTTCTCAATGGATGGACTGACAAGGGAGCATTTGTTTTCTCATACTTCAGCAGAGCAAACTCTCTTAATCAGATTAAAATGAGGACTTCCTTGGTACTGAGACTTCTCCCTGTCTCTCTCTCCCTCCATTTTTCTCTCTCTCTGTCTCTTTTTCTCTGCGTCTCTGTTTCTCTCCAGTATGTCAGTGAAATCTGCAGAGTGAATAGCAGTAGAGGATGGCCCAAGTCCTTGGGCCCCCGCACCCATATGGGAGACCTGGAAGAAGCTCCTGACTCCTGGCTTCTGATCAACACAGCTCTGGCCATTGTGGCCAATTGGGGAGTGAACCAGCAGATGGAAGACCTCTCTCTCTGCCTCTCCTTCTCTCTCTGTGTAACTCTGACTTTCAAATAAACAAATAAATCTTAAAAAAATAACTATAACAAGAAAATTATGTTCCCTTGTGAAATACGCTAACCAATGACAAAAGTAGAGGATCTTTTCCCTTGGAAAATATGCTAAAACACAAAGTGGAAGAAAAATGGAACCCAGACAAAGATACACACAGCTTTCAATCTCCAAAGTGCAGTTCTGTTCATCCAGTGGGTATCTTCTGAGGTCCATCATGCAGGCTGCTGTCGTGGTGATTCTGAAATACAAAGAGGGATGGAGATATCACAGATGGGGTGAGAAATGTAGCAGCGAATCCTTCAAGATAAATCACAAGTAAACACATATGTAGGCTCTTTTTTCCCAAAGTAAACCTGACTAAACATCATTCACAATATATGCTGGGAACCTTTAATTAATAAACTTTTTTCATTATACTACAGACATGTTTTATGAAGAAAAACAACACAAAACTTTATTTTATTATGGAAAAACATTTTAATTCACAAAATTGTATATACTTATAGTATATGACACATTGTTTTGAAATTTGTATATACTGTGTGGTGGCTAAATTGAGATAATTAACATATTTATTACCTCACATCATTATCTCTTGTTTTGTAATAAGACCTAAGATCTACTTTCTTAGCAATTTTTAATTCTACAGCACATTGCTATCAACTATAGTCACTAGATAGGACCCAAAATTTTAAAGGTTATAAAACCATTTTTTGAGTCTTACTGACTTTGGATAATAAAGGATTTTCAAAGAAGCTCTTAACCTCAGTTTTTGTCTTGACTAATGGCTCTCTAACCTCTCTAGAACATAGAACTTAAGTGAGAAACAACACTGCTGAGTTGAGATTGAGTTCTTCAACTTCTATGTGTAATGCTAGAGTAGCTACGTAGTCATGGGCTGCATTGCACCCAATGACGTAACCTGCTTTCCCCCAGTACAGGCCCCTCAGTATTCAGCTTTCTAAACTGGACAGCCTTCACTGTGGATATTCACACATAACCTATTAATACTTCAAGTAATGAGATAAGCCTTGATCCTATCAACATCCTAACCAAAACACCTGTCAAACACCAAGCATGTACCACTTTTGATGGGCTTGTCTCATTCAATCTTTAATGCAGGTTCTGTGTGAGCAGGAGGCTGAGAAAAGTTCCATTTCTCAGTGACCGAGGGGAGCAGTGAGAGAAAATGTCAACATATTTGACAAACAGGTTAATAATAACATTTTCTATACAGATAACATGCATGTGTTACCTGATCACCCACTATATGACCCATACCAATGATGGAAGCATTTTTCCAAATGTCATAACAGTCCCAATTATCCTTGGATGGATTTAAGGAGTATACTGCATTCTATAATCAGAAATCAACACTTAGTTCTTGAGTTTATTTTTCTGCACCATCTAATTTTCTAGCCAACTGAAATTTCAGCCTCACACTTTCAAATCTGGCATGTTTAAGGGCAGATTGACAGCCCAACATCCACACAAGATGCTGTAAGAGAAAATCAGAGTACAGCTCTGCTAAAATGTTGACGTTGTATGAGGAAAATAAAAATGTTAATTTTTAAATTTTTCTACATATTTTTAAATTTTTCTACATATTTTTGTAACCATTCAGTTGTACAATCATTGAGATTACTATTTCTTATTGTGTTTTCTTCTTATACATTCCACAAACCACTCTAAAATACATGAATACACACACACACAAGTATGCAAAAATTGTCTGTGGACATCATGTACCACAGGCTCACACTTCTTGTAACATCATGTAGACTGTTTTGTGGAAATTCCAGGCAAGGGAAGGGGAACACAAGGCTATGGGATTAGTGAGAGTATGCCCTTCTTTTCACCAAAGCAACTGCTTTTCTACAGCGCAGCAGTAGTCCAGATCCTCCCATTTTGGTGTAATACTGAATATAAAATGGAGCCCTTTTTTTTCCTATTTCATTGAAGAATGGGTAGAAATAACTATTCACTACTTTCATTTGGAAGATATACTTAGAAACCCCCTGAGGTTGGAGCGTGAGACAAACAGCCTGCTCATGCTACACAAGATAAGCACACAGTGATGAATGGAGGAGGGAAAAAGCTCTGCTGGGCTGTGGGAACAACAGGCAAGAAAAGAGAAGGTGAGAGTAGAGGCAGAAAGAGTAACAAAGAGAGCTGTACAGCATTTCCAGAAACCCTCTCTGAGCTACAAAGCCCTCACCCAAGCTGGATAAACTTGTGACATGCTTGGAGAATGGACTCTGAATAAATCAGTGGAAAACTGCACTACTGGGGCTTTGCAGAAATCATAGAGGGGTGGCAGAATCTGGTACCACAGAAGTGAGAGCCAGCACACTCCTAGTGAATGGAGATCAACAAAAGGTGGATAAACAGCAGTGACACCTGGGCTCTATCCGTGTAACCACAACACTGTACACATCTTTGATATTTCCCTAAAATTCTTTTTGAACCAAAGGGACAATACTTATATTACCAATATCTAGTTCCACTTCTGCAATCTTTATGATCTTCAGAATTCTACTGCTATTTTTAGTGGTGAAACCAACCATTTGGGATAGAATATGACTGGGTGAGGATCTTTATTGCACTATTCTTCAGTAATGTCTCTCTAATTTTTTAGTTTTCTTCTTTTCGTTTTGCTATTGACAGACAGCAATGCTTAGAGTCTGGCTACAATGTATATTGCTGATAGAAAAGCAGAGAAATGTAGTTGCCCAGTTGTAGAAAATATGCCTACAATTAATAAACTCTTTTTTAACAGATAGTCACATTTTGAGGACTGAAATGCACGAAGTAAAAACAGACAGAAAGAACATCAATGAAGAGAGACAGTTAAGTGAGGATTAGATGACTGCACATTATCGAGATGGATGTTGACTTATCATCTTTATGCTCAGGACAACAAGCAATCAGTTGCATAAAAATTTTACATAACACTAACTGAGCACATTTTGTAACACATTGAGCCATTAGAAAACAGACACAGCTTTCAAATCCAGGCAGTTTGAACACTACACTCTAATATTTCCTGATGACCTCTTCTACTTTAAAATGTATAAGTTACAGTCAAATTTCACAGGCCAACTCAGGAAATATGGATCTTACTTTGGATGAAGAGCAGCAGGGTAGAAAAGTTTAGAGATGAGATTGATGATGATGATGATAGATGACAGACTGATGATATAGACAGAGACGGATTTTGCATAGCTCAAAATCATTAATGAAATTCTTAAATTTTAACGGGAACTCAAGTCACAAAGGGATCTTTCTAAAAAATCAGATTCCATGCCAGAATGTGTAGAGGGGTCTATGATTCTGAATTTCTCAGATGACGCTACTAGGTGATGTTATTTGTTGAGGAATTAAACACAGTATAAAGGAGAAGGAAAATTTGTAAGTTTCCCAAAGGCAGAGAAATAAAAAAAATTTGAAAATGAGAGAAGATGATAGATATATGAGAGATAAAATGAGTATGTAAATAACCTTATTAGAGTAAAAACAAACAGTATTCAAGAAAACAAATTAAAATCAAACACGAAACAACCAAAAATTTAAAAAATTGGAATACAACATAATACATAATATAAAACGTGTTATTTTAAATATCTTTTAGTGTACAATTAGTAACATTAAGACCTTGAGGGTACAAATGTAGAAGTGAAATTACTAAATCTTATGATTCTGTGTCTAAATTTTGAGTAATCACCTGCTTTTCACAGTCATTGCACTATTTAGAGTTTTCACCAACAATCCCTAAGGGTTACAACTTCCGCATGACTTCCTCAACATTTGCATTTTTCCCTTCATTTTTTTCTTTTCTTTTTTTTTTTGGGGGGAGTGGGGGAATAACAACTATCCTAATGTGTGTGAAATGGTATCTCATTGTAACTTTGATTTCTATTTCATCAGTAGTTAATTATGATTAACATCATTTCTTGTGCTTCTTTGCAGAATGTCTATTTAAGTCCTTTGCTTCATTTTTTAATAAGTGGCTTTTTTTTTCTAAATTGCTGACAATTAGGGTATCTTTACAAAATGTTTATATTAACCTCTTAAATATGATTTGCGAATCATTTCTTTTATCCTGTGAGCTGCCTTCTCACTCTACTGATTATACTTTTATACACAGAATTATTTACTTTGTGTAACCTAAATTGTTTTTATTTTCTTGCTTGTGTTGCTGCTGTCATATCCAAAAATAACTGCCAAATCTAATGTCATAAAGCTTTTCTCCTATGTTTTCTATTAAGAGTTTTATAGTTTAGTTCTTTGATCCATTTGATCTCTTTTAAGTTTAGTTCTTTGATCCTTCTGAGTTAATTTTTCATAACATGTAAGGTAAGGATCTAAGCTCATTCTTTTAAAAGTCCATATCGAATGATCCCTACATCATTTGTTGGAAGGACTGTCCATTACACATTGAGTAAGTACTCTTGTCACCCTTGTCAAAAACCATTTCACCATATATGCCAGGATTTATTTCTAACCCCTATACTCAATTTCATTGATCTAAATGTCTGTTATTAATGCTGGTACTAATCTGTTTTGATTACCATACCTTTGTATTAAGTTTTGAAAGCAGGCAATATGAGATTTCCTACTTTGCTTTTTTATCAAGATTGGTTTTAGATATTTGCAGTCTTTTGAAATTTCATTTATATTTTAAGGTGAGTTTTTCTATTTACACAAAAAAGACACCATTAGGGTTTTGATAGGGATTGTGCTGAATCTGCATATTGTTTTGGGTAGTATTGTTATCTTATCAATATTAAATCTTCCAAGAACATAGGCTAACTTTCATTTTATTTAGGTTTCCTCAGATTCTTTCAATAATATTTTATAGGTTTTATGTACACACCATTTACTCCATCACAAAATTTATTCCAAGATTTTTCATATTTCCAAATGCTGTTCATACATGGAGTTGTTCTCTTGCTGTGGGTTGAATATGAATTTTCCCATTTGAAACTCATGTCAACCTTTAATGACCATTATGAGATAGTAAAGGGTAGAAACTATTTGACTATGGCATTCAGAAGAGAAGACTTTGGGAAGTGATTAGGATTAGATGAGATGATCAGATTGGAGCTCCCACGACTGAATAGCAGTGAGCTTTATAAGAAGAGGAAACACATACAAGCATTTCCTGTCTCTTACTTTGTAATGCCCTCACCACCCTGGAACTCTGGAAGCAAGAATGCCCACCCTAGGCGCAGGCCC